GTGTGAGAGAGAGAGAGAGGAGGTATCTTGCTGGCGGTTCTAGGGCATGTTTGAACCTTCTTTTACCAGGCATTGTCTCTTACCACTCTCGACGTGCGCATTTCGAGAGAAGTGGAGCGAGGCCCATTGAGTTCGATTACTTTCGTTCTCTGTTTCAGAGAAGAGCAGCTCTTGCTCCTTTGTGCATTTTTTTTTTTCTTAGTAGACTTACCTGGCCGCAATTTCGGCGTTTTTTGGAAAGCAATCGTCAGGTCCTACCAAAAGGAACCTGGTAAGTGCTGACGATCTCCGTTCTAGAAATGCCGAAATTACGGCCAGGAGCATCAAGGGTAAATGCCCAAAGGACTAATATACGGCCAGGAGCATCCAAGGTAAAAGCCTGAAGGACTAATATCCTCGGTGTATGTGAATGCCTAAAGGACTACTATCCTCGGTGTATGTGAGCATTTGTCAACATGTATTCAGGTGTGTTGAGCATTTGCATGTGTACGTGTTATCTTTTTGTAATTAATCTATATTCTTCTCTCGATTTCACCTTTTACTACCTACCTACCACCTCTCCTAAGCTTATACAGGGGATTTGTAAGCATAGCTAGCGATGCATATCGTGTTGAAATCACTTCCACATCCAGATGCTCACATCCTAGTCCACATGCAGTTTCTCATAACACGTGTATGAATGGCAGATCATCGCACTTCGGCGGCTCAGATATAATCAAATACACGCGTCGAAATTACGTACACCTGTGTTGGTCATGGACCCTACACAGGTGTACATAATTTCCCATTTCGGTAAATGGCCGATCAGGGCGGTATTCGTGCGGGCTATAAGAAAACAAAGCAATTTGCTTTCTGGGAAAATTTGTCCGGAGCCCCTGTAATTTCCATTATTTGCCGTCACGCCCCTCCCACGGCCGATTTACCCTATCACGCCCCTCTGACCACGATACTAATTTTCCATAAAACCCCGGTGTCGGTTGGGACTTAATATTTTGTAGGACCAACACGGATGTACGTGATTACATGTGTATTTGATTTGATCTGCATGTGTACTTGGAACTGTACAAGTGGGATGATTTACCACTTATTCACGTGCATCGGCATGGGGATGTGATTTTCCCATTTATTCTAGTCTGCTTGATACGCCTGATAGGCATAAGCAGGGTCTGTGACCAACAAGGGTGTACAAGGGTGTACGTGATTTCGACGTGTATTTGATTACATCTGCATGTGTAATGATTTGCCATTTATACACGTATATGCATGTGGGCGTGATTTTGCCATTTATACACGTATATGAGCATCTGCATGTGGACGTGATTTTGACACAACGAGTTTTACGTAATGCTGCGCGTAGCAGTGTTCACATGATTGTTGGCTCAAATCCTATTTTCATATTTGGATTCTCTAGGATGTATCTGATCGTCATTATAGCCAGATTCTCTCAGGAAAGGACAAGAGTGATTTGGACCTCCGAAAAGTCAGCAATACTCCGGAGTGTTAATCCAAATACTGTCATCACCCATATAGAACGTACCCTCTCGTTTCATTGCCCACTTTTTTTTATCGTTGGTCACCTCTGGAAAGCCGGGTCTGATCTAGCGGGGTCGGCGCATGGTTCAAGAACACTGTCGACGTGCCAGAGCAGGCTGTCGGCTAGACAGACTACCCGGCAGATTAACATACAAGCACGAGCTGGAAAACAAAAATTGATTCTAATCATATCTGGCAGACAGAAGGAAGGTGTTCTTCAGCAGACCTGACAGAAGGTGTTCTTTAGCAGAACTGAACAATGAAACCCGCGTGAGATTTTCCGCTAAAAAAGAAGAAGAGGAGAAGACGAAGCGGAATCAACCAAGTAATAGAATGCCAATGAATCTCTCTCTCTCTCTCTCACACACACACACACACACACACACACACACACACGGGCAAGCGCATGCACACGCACACGTTGCAATGCAGTTGCGGCAGTGTTAGTGTGCCGGCATCGAAGGAAGCCATGGTGCAACGGCACCCACTCAGAGGCTAAGTCAACTGGTGAGGGTTTGGACTCGATTTAGAGTACACAGCTCCTGCCGTCAGATCTGAACATCTCAGGGTCACACTGTTGCCACGTTGAAAAATACTGCCCCGCTGGTGGGATTTCCGCAGCCCCAACAATTGCCAAATGCACAAAAGACACATACCACGGCGGTGTATAGCTCCATGTTTTAGTGGAAATTTCGTTCTTCTTTACAAATTTGGTGACTGGTGTGGGGAGGCCCTTAGCCTCAGGACAATGGTGGAAGACTGCAGAGCACTATGCTCTCTCCAAAATATGCAGAAGAGGGCCTCCCCGCACCTGTGCGAAAAATGAGAATCCAAAATGAAAATGAATCTTCTGCTAGGACACGGAAAGACACCGCCTGCTCGCTGAACACGTTTCAAAACCAAAGTGCATGATTTGAGTAACTTGTATCTTTTTTCGTTCGTATTGGATTAGATAACACCTGTAATCAAACTACAAACTCCTCCATCTGCCCGATGTCCAGAGAGCAGAATTGATTGCACAAGCTTTTTCTTCTTGTTAGCCCTATCGTAATTAACTTCAGGTAACCTAACAGTCGGCCACATACTTGCTACATTGGCGTGTTTTTTTTTTTTTTTTTTTTTTTTTTTTTTTTTTTTTTTTTTTTTTTTTTTTTTTTTTTTTTTTTTTTTCCGCCCACATACTTGCTACATTGTCGTGCATATATCAAAGTAGCCAGCCTCCTTGAACATATGTGTTCTACACTGTAGAAAGCTAAATCTACATAAATATAATGCACTGCTTAAAAAATGCCCGTAGTTATATTGATTACCGAACAAATAGCAACAAGAGATCCGAAACCTCACCAATAGCAAACACTCCGAGATAGACGCATATGCCATACGGAGAGATTGAAGAGGCGACCATATGCGCCGCCGGGCGACAGCCCCTTCGGCCTTAGTCCCCTACTATCAAATATATACCTTAATGAGCTGTACCACTTTATAGAAACAACTATCCGAAATTTTTGAACACCTTCATGGGTTTCATGCGGCTCTCGTCACTTCAGCTTAAAGTTCTAAACCCAAAACGAAACTTGCATTTTGTGGAGCGGGTTTTCACAGAAAGAAGTTCATAACAGCAGGTCAGGTTGGTCTAGCATTTCCAAATATGCTTTTTTTCTAGGAGCAGCGCTACGATCTGCTGCTCAAATGGTTTCTTACGAAGTTTCTATTGGCCTTATTAATTAAGTTATTATAATATAACTACTGTATTAATTAATTTGCATAGGTTCTAGTAATTTAACGGAAATCATCATAGCACAAAAACAGATATGGTTTGGTATCCTCCTTTTTTCCTTTATTGATCATTTAAAGGCACAAAGCACCGCAAAAACCTCGAAGCACCCTACAAGGACGTAGCCTGTACAATTTTTCAGAAAGAATTGTCACACTCATCTCTTTTCATAGCAACCCTGTCAAAATACACAAAAGTTCTATTCGTTTCGACTCAGGGAAGTGTTTCCATGCGTCAAAATCAGTGAAACAAAATCACATAAGCACATGGCACCACACTGGGTTCGAGCTACTCGCATCAAGGAGGCCCAAACCTTTCCTGCAAATCTCTGACACAAGTCTCTGGCACCCCCCCCCCCCCTCCCCCCCTGTTCCAAGACCAAACCCAAGTCTTCCACATCACACCAGTGCACAGCCTGGGTTTGAGCCCCCATTTCATCTCCCCTTCAACACAAAAAAATTATAAAAAACACACACAGAAGGACGAAAAAAAAGGGAGAGCGAAAGAGAGAAAAGCACTATTTTTTCAAACCCATCCACAACCAGCCGTAGATCTGTATCACATCCAACATTGGGCAACTTTCCGTGCCGTGACAGGTGGGTCGGACTTTGTGCCGTGACAGGCGGGTCAGACTTTTCAATCGGACATGCGAGAATTCTTTACCCGACGGCTGACCGCAATTGCAGCGAATCGAGTTACATGGTGGCCATTTTTTCGAAGACGCGGAAAGTTGGATGCAGGAACACAGCCGCAGATCAACATCCGACGGTGGCCAATCGCCAGAGCCTGCCGCATATGCAGCCCACATCCCATAAGCATTAGTAGGGGGAGAGAAAAAGGGGAGACCAATCCGAAAAAAGAGGGGAGGCAGGACAAAGGCGACCACATTCGTCCTCGCTAAGAGGTCCAATCATTTGTTACCTGAAGTAGACAAACATTGCGTACTGAAGATGAATTACTTTAGATATAAGAATAAAGATACAACTATGCAATGGGTTGTCAGCAGGGTAGTTCCAGCACAGAAAGTTGAAACTCATGTCCCACAAAAACAAAATCCACACAGGCTTCACCTCCTCGTCGACTCAATTTTCTCCACTATCTCATAAACAACCAAACCACTCTAACATGCCTGAGGTTCACCCTCTTGAAGTCTGATCCTGACCTTGCTTGGATGCGTATAAAAGCAGAGCCTTCGATGGCATCATCTTCCCACCCAGTCGAACGACTTGCACATTTTCGATTCACACTATAACTATACCAACTCTGGCTGAATAGAGCGCATGTCTGCCTTCACTCCGTAATTGTGTCGTGTTGCTCCATCCTTCTCACATCACACACACCAGGACAAAGGGATACAGCGGCAAACAGACCTTACATCTCGTTTGTGACACCGCCTGAAACCACATCAACCGCCCTTCCCCTTAACCGCATGATGCCTTCACTAGACTCCGGACCATCTCATAATCGTGCCAGTCGCCGCTTCGTCATTGGCCCCGTCATTCCTGACTCATCTGCACCCTTTCAAACATGCAGGCAACCACAAGCTCCCCACGTTGCTCCCATTGTTCGCCATCTGGTTCTGGTTCGCAGTAACTCCTTGTGGGGGTCTACAACCCCCACAAAGCGGAGCCCCTGGTTCTTCGTGTAGCCCACCCTTTCTCTCAAAGACARCAAATTGCACATGCTTTAGAACTTAAACACCTGGTTCTTGGTGTAGCCCATCTTCGCCAGCAAGCCACTCAGCTGCAAAACAATCAAAGCAGAAATCGCAAAAGCCGAAGCAGAAGGCCACCCACAGGTCAGGCAGTACAAAAGTGCAAAGCAAGCAAAGGATGCGATCGGACTTCACATGCAGGGGCCCTAGTTAAGGGGGGTTGTCCTGGTTAGCTTTGTCCATGGCTCACACACTACATTAACATACARATACATAGTCTTRTCTTGTTAGTTGTGGCCAACTGTCCCTACCTCGCCCTGTGACTTGTCAGGCGCTTTGTCTCCTGAAATGTGTCGCATCATTCCTGGTGGCCCACACACCTACACAGCCAAGAAGCAAAACGCAAGGACACGCACAAAGCATCAGTGAACAACCGTTTGCAATTTGCCATCATCCCAGACAATTCCATTACCATCAGATACTTTGTTTGGATGTCCAAAACAGAAACGAAAAGCAAAAAGGTTTGGCAAATTTGCATCTGACAAGACATCAAAGTTACGACCAAAGTACCCGGTYCCCACCTGAACTACCACCTACTACGCTATAACAAAGTTAGCACCAGGTTCAGACTCATTACCATGTTGAACCGGGTTTGAAACTCGCATCAATTAGATRAAAAACATTTCAACCAAAATRCCTTTTGAACAAAGTACCTGGTCCCCACCTGAACTACCACCTACTATGCTATGACAAAGTTAGCACCAGGGTCAGACTACATCACCATGCTGAACTGGGTTTGAAACTCGTCTCAAKCAGATAAAAAACATTTCAACCAAAAAGCCTTTTTCCGTACTGTTTTTGAAGCTGGTGAATCTCGAAGCTGCTGAATTTTGGGACCGGGCACTGAATGTACAGTCCCTGCTTGCCTACCATAATGGTAGAGACATTTTCAGCATTTTCACTGTTAGTTTTAGGCTATTCTTTTAAAAGGCAGACACGTCATACCCAGGCCAATAACAGCCCCTCGAAAGTGACGCACCGGGGCAAAACCCTCGTTTGGAATTCATTTGTGTTATTTTTTCTGTTAAGTAACTAGTGATTTGCTACATGAAGCACTGCTATAGATAGATAGATAGATAGGTAGATAGATAGGTAGATAGATAGATAAATTTTCACATAACTATGAACTAAAAGAGCACATTTTGCAAAACAAAACGTCAGAAGAAAAAAAAAAAAAAAAAAAAAAAAAAAAAACAAGACAAACATGAAGGGCACTCTTAAGCCATTCATTTTTTCTGATTCTTCTTTCAACTTCCCCTTCACCGTGCCTCTCACGTACAAGGCCTGCCACGTTGATGAAGTTGAACATGAGCTGCCCCCATCCCCGCGTACCATAACGGCCCACTTGAAGAGAGAGACAGAGAGAGAGAGAGAGAGAGATTGCTGTCCCCTCAACAGTTTCTTGAGCCAACTGTTGCATATTGCTCAAGCAGACGTGACACTCATTTCTACATCACCTTTTCCTAGTTTCATCAACTGAATTCCGATCTACTGTGGAGTTAACAATCAAGTGTGATCTCCATCAAATGTGCAAGTGAGATGGTGGATGAGAGAACTTTCGAGTTTGTGACAGGGTATCTTTGTTTTCGGAAACAGTTCTCGGAAAAGAGGATCTTACTGTGGAATTTCTGAACAATACATGCAACACTGTCTTCGCCTGAATAGAATGCCCAGCAACTCACCACAGCAACCATGACTATAGCGGTGCCGACTGGAATCAAGATATTTATTAGTTGGATCACCACTATGTGGGGAGGTTCAATCAAATTAAAAACACCTATGTTATTCGCTGTAGGATTCATCTTCTTGTTTACCATAGGAGGACTTACAGAATTGTATTAGCTAATTCTGGTCTTGACATTGCTCAACATGACACTTATTAGCTGTGTTTGGGGCAATTTTCAGTCTAGATACAGCAACGATGAGCAGGCTTTCTATCCTGGTGCAGAGTGTGAGTGATACTGATTAATCATGCATGCTAGACAAAGGTTTATCACAAAGGGACGTAAGGGAAATGAGGCGTGCTCTACCAAGCTCTATTCACATCCATTCAGTTGTGAGCGCCTGAACCTATTTCAGGTACAAACCCTGCAGGTGTCTCAACATTCCTTTACTTAATTGGACGTTGTAAAAGTCAAATCATGCTCACATCGGGGCAACTCATCCACAGTGAACATAGCGTTAAAACAGCATATTCAAAAACATCAAAAACACTATGCATGCACACACATTTCCATATAAGCAGAGAACTACAAGAAGCCATAATTCTCTGCAAGCTGTAAGACCCATAGAGCAAGGAAGATGGTGCTGAAAAATGAAGATGGTGCCGAACGACAAAGTGATGGATAAGACCGAGATCACAAGCACTCCCAGGGTTGGATTCGTGCCGGCAACCTGATAGCTGCTGAGGCTAGCAGTTTCTGAGTGACTCAAAATGCGTGCAAAACTTTCAAATACACGGCTATCCATCAGTTTCGAAAGTGGAGAGAAGAGAGGAAGGGAGAAAGAGAGAGAGCGGAACGTCAAAATCATTGGCAGACATACGAGAATGGATCTAGCAAGTTATGGACGCTCTTACAAAAGTGCGCAGAAAAAAAAAAAAAAGTGCGCAGGGTAAGGGTCGTCGATTCGCATACCATTATCAGATTGTCATCCGACGGTGGCGGCATTGCCTTCCTCAGCATGTCCTCATTGATATACCCAACACCTCCGTCCCATCCCTTGGCTGGTTTGTCGATCACATAATACACCTGGAAGTCAAAGACGCCCACACACAAAAGACAGGAAAAATGCCACAGATACCGGATCAGTTCCCACATACCTCCTCCCTCCTCCCCTGTGCATAGCCCCTCCACACAATGCTTGAGGTWCGAAATCTCTGGCTATCCACACAGASAGCAGAAGTGTAAGATAGCCATCCATAAGAGTCCAACACGTTCGAGACCAGACAGGATTACACACACTACAGAAGACTGAAGACTCTCCATAGCCAGCTGCTGTGACAATAACTTGCGGACTCCAAAAGAAAACAGGCTGACTGAGAATTTGAATGAAGTCCATTTAAATGGGGCACGGGTGATTGGGCAACTTGGACCTCAAGCTCGGAACCAGAACAAGGGTTCCGCATTCACCAGGAGGTAGGCCCAGCCAATCAGTGGTTGGAGGCAGACATGTATCCAATCCTAAACCCAGGCTTTATGGTTAGTCCATTGGACAAAGAGACAAGGGTATCAATAGCCATCAACAAAAGTTTACTCACGAAAGTCAGGGTCATCGAGACTGATGAATTCACAATTTTTGCTCCCACAACACCTATTCAAGATCTGGAAATTGATCCAGTACACTGGGCTTGGAACACGAAAGAGAATGGTTCAAGGATAGGTAAGAGGGTTAACATACTCCACTACACAACTAAATCCGGGTATAGATTAAGAAAGAGATCAACCCAGTTGGATCAACCCCTAGCAATGAGATGGGAAAAAAGGGTGGGAATATCAAGACAGCAAATATGAAAATTGTCGTGGTCGATTTTGCACACAATCAGGCTGAATAAGGTTCGAAGTATGCAGTGGCTCATATTTCATGTCGCACTACCAGTCAACGCTTGGCTATACGAAAAACGAAGCAGGAACAATAGAGATGAGAGGGAGAAAAATTGCGTCATGTGCACCGAAGGAGTACCCGAAACATTGCTTCATTGCCTTCTGCTATGCGCGGAAGCAGAGTATGTTTGGTCTATAGCTCTAACCCTGTGGGATCGCACATGGGAATTTGCATTCCCAAGGAGCAAAAAAGTCCATCTTACAGGAATGGAAGTCCCTAGAAGTTGACACTCCAGCCATAAGTGCATTTACCAGCTATTGAGACAATACGCATTATGGACAATTTGGAAAAGAAGATGTCAACAAGTGATAGGCAAAAATCCGTCAACCAGAATGGAAGCTCGAGCACCACTACATAATCTGCTACAAACGGACATTACAGCTCAATGGCAGCGAACCAAGAAACAGGCAGCGGCTAACAACGAAAAGGCTAAGGATATTTTCACGAAATTTCAAAACAGGGTATTGGCCAAAGGTAAAGTGGCTTCAATAGAGGGGCACAGGCTGATCTTCCACTGGTTCAGAGAGGACCAACAAGACATGGCAAACGGACATCAGGGACAGACACAGCAACTGGCCTCACCATGAACAAGGGAAGTCAATCTGGAGAATAATAGCAATAAGAACAAATGGAAAGGTCAACTCTAGAGAATAAGGGCATTGACCAAAAAAAAAAGAAAAGAAAAAAAAAAAAAGAAAAAAGAAAAAGTGGAATAAAGAATCCCTACTTATGGGTAAATCCATAAGAATAAGCAAAAAAGGGCAAAACCCTCCAGAAACCTTACTGAATAGGAAAAAGCTACAATCTGCATGTAACAGACGACCCGAATGGACTAGGGTTTAGGGTTTAAGAAAAGGCAGAAGGCAGAAACAGCAGTACAGACAGGATCTAGAGTATGGGTAAATCCATAAGAATAGGCAAAAAAGGGCAAAACACTCTACAGGAAAAAGCTACAATCTGCGCGTAACAGACGACCCGAATAGACTAGGGTTTCAGGTTTAAGAAAAGGCAGAAGGCTGAAACAGCAGTACAAACAGGATCTAGAGTACCTGATAGCCCAAAAGGTGGGAGAAAGGGAGTTCAGAGGATACGTGGCCAAGTTCTTTCGAAGTTCCTTGGGTAGAGAATAGAAATAATTGTTTAAGCAAACTCTTAGATCCCGGCCCCCGACACCAGCTCTAGCATTTAGTTTTATCCGAACAGAACTCAGTTGACAACAGTTAGGAGCTAGGCAGCTCAGAGGAACAGTGGGTCGTAGATATAGGCTAACTTTGGCAGGGGTGAGGGGTGGTACATCCTTCCCTATGGAAGTAATCAATGCCGTCCACTCCGGCCTCTCAGCCATAATGGGGAGGAGCATGAGCGTGTTTTCTCTGTATTCATATCTGACTTGCCGGGGGAATAGGAAGCGGACTGTTGCTCCCCAGAATGGTAGGAGCCAGAAATGAGAGGTTCTGTTATCTTCGGAAAAGAAAAAAAAAAAAAAAAAAAACATAACGTTCAAAAGAGAACTGCTTAAACCACCGACCCCCCCGCCACTGAAAACCCCTAGTCACTGTGAGTTAGGGCCGGATTGTACGGAGGGGCGGCGACCGTATAGACGCGCCGGGATGTACGGAGGCCGACGGGTCCAATCCCGTCATTTTGCAAGCGGCAACTTCGCCAATTTTTCGCGCTCAGAAGAAATAATGATAATGTCTGAAAATTTGAGGGTCCGTAAATTAGGTCGTGATCTTTGAGGGAAAAATATCAGGAAAAAAAATAAAATTATTTTGAAGGTGAAATATTCACCGCGCTGATTTGGTTTATTTCCAAATTTTGTTCCAAATTCCGTACGGAGGCCCGCCCAGTTTTCCATACTGTGCTACCGGTAGCCTTCTTGAAACGGCGCTACCGGTACCCCTGAGGTTTTTTACGTCAGGGGGACCGGTGGTTTAACAGCTCCCCAGTGGTTTGATGTGTTTCTCTCTGCCCTGCGTCAGTCACAATCAACCTCACCAACAGACACCCCACAGGCAAATTCCACCACCCCGCCCACAATATCCTTCCCCATGTCTCAGCAACTTCACATCTCCCCCCACGTCCTCTTGTTTTCCCCTTCCAACGCTAAAAATTATGCTTCCCCATGTCTTCCTGTTCTCGACCCCTTCCAATCTTCCTCGGTCTCAATCTGTATTTATTTATTTATTCTTCTTCCTCCACAATGATGCAGCTGAGAAGTATTTGTTTTCATGAACCCGGAAACCAGCGCCAAAAACTCTTTATTGCACTCTACAACTTTGCATCCATTCATTCCTCTTTTGTTGTCCTCTTCTCTCATTCTGAGTCCTCATGCCCTTTCCCCTGCCCCTCTGCCCTCAACTGCTCCCAAGCCCCCTACTTCGCAGCACTGTTCCCAAGCCCCCCTTGCCTCCCTTTGGGTAAATGTTTCAAGCCCCCACATCGCAAAGCATGGGATCAATAAGTACTACAAGCATGATGCACAGCAATAGACCCACATTCTAGATAGTCAATTCAGCGTGATAGTGAAAGTTTTTAGCACTGTTTGATGAGCCCGAGTAGTACACAGATGGAAATTACCAGATCATTAAAAGGCCCAGAGACTGTATGATGTTTTCACGGTCAGGTGCATGCCTTTTACCCATCAGAAAGCAAGCCCTGGCCCTGCCAGTTCTCCTCTTTTACTGTTTATGTCCTAGTAAACAGCATGGTTATGGTCTTTTTTTTTTTTTTTTTTTCGTCTCCATCCAGGGTTGCATCCCTGCTGACCGCCGAACCCGACTGCAGATCTTTAGGGCCGACCGGTTGCCGACCAGTCAGAAAACAACCATCCACTGTTTTTTTTTTTAATCTGAGTTCGGGGCTGTACTGTACTTGCTGAGTACAGCCCAAATCCGCTAAGAAAC